ACTTTTCTTTTTAGGCAGAAACCATGAGGCACTGAAGCAAGCATTCACTTTTCTTGCACTTGAGGTCACAAATTTATGCAAGTCAAAAATGTTGGGCCTGCCAAAAACATCATGCTACACTCCACCAAATAAAAGGACACTGTTATTCTTACAAGGAAAGGTTTGACAGGACAGGAAATAGGCAGGGTCATAGAAGTTTACTTAATACCGAAAGTTATTTAACCATCTTTAAGCCAAAATACAATGATAGTTATTTAAAAAAAAAGAAAAAAATTAGAAGGTGGGGGAGGGAGGGAAGACAAATACAAGACCGCAGGACTGCACTATTGCAGGAGTAGCAACCAATACAGAAACTAGGGACCCTCAATAAAAATTCACATAAATCAGGTTACTATATGTTGTCTGCCTCTACTGGGTTAACACGTATTAAATAAGTTTTATTTTATGTCCTGAACTTGCAGCAAGAGGCATCTGATTTGAAGAATCCAATGCAGAGTTTACTGAGCTATACACTACTTTCATTACAATGCGATCCTTAAGTAGACTGCATTCCACTTAAAGGAATGGAGGAAGGGGGGTAAGAAGAGAGTGAATATGAAAGATAGGAAAAATGTTGCTGTTCATTACAATTTTCCATTTTTGTTGAAACACAGCAGGAGAGCAAAGCCACAGGCTTCTCTACTGCTCTTGCATGCCAGGAGGGATTATGCAAACACTGCAACCACCCAAATCTTATTTAAATTATAGTCATTGTTCCCTCTTTAATGGTTATACTTTTGCCTGCTTTCACTCAAATATTGCTGCATCTTGCTTTCCGCCAACATAGTCCCAATGGGAGTCATCAACTCTTAATTATAGATGAACAGATCTTTGAAAAATACCTCTGGAAAAAAAGTGGAAAAGAAAGCAAACTTTAAGTGCCATCTAGTGGCTGATCTACTAAAAAATGTTAAATAAATCAAAAAAATTCTTAACATGCCACAGAATAACACAAAAGGTAGCTGAACAGAGGAAGCAGTGCTTAAATTTACAACCACTAAAGACCAGGATAATACTTTACGGAACCAAGAAAAGGACTAAAGATCAATGGCGTCATTACCATATTTTTTCTTGTAAGATTGTTGTCTGTAAGTGGAGAGTTCAAATGGTAGGAATTGTCTAGTGATCACCTGTTCCTTCAAGACCCTCATCAGCTTATCAGCTTCTGCCTTGGTAAGGAAATGCAAGTTGTCATATGTATTTCAGTCCAAATCAGAAAGGAGAACCCTTTCAGATCTCAAAATAGAACCCAAACCATGGGGGTGAATCTGGAGCCAAGCATTTGAATTCAAATTAGCATTCTCCTCCAAATTCATCTGGGGTTGAAGGCCAGATTATCTCTATTTGTAACAAAAGTCAAATCCATTTCTAAAAGAAGGGAAACGGATTGTTAGTTAGTAATGTCCTTTTCCTTTCCCTGCAGGAAAAAGCCATTTTCTGCCATAGATGAGAATTCCCAATACATTATTTTTCATTATAAAAGCATTCCATTTACACAAAGGACGTTACACAAGATCCTTCCCCAAGCTTTAGGTAACTCCTCTGAGAGATAACATGTCCCTTCTACAACAGTAGTTGACAGTCTAAACTTAAATCGCTTTGTCTGAACCTGTTCAGTGATAATGGAGGGCAGCCCAGCACAATTTTTATTTAATGTAATTTTCATTTTTTTTGCAAAGAGCATTATACTTTGGACTTGCTTTGGAGGTTTACATGTCTTCAGTTTCATACCTAGTGAGCCCTGGGGATCACACCTCAGTGAAAGGTTCTGGAGATGTGAATCTGTCTCGATAGAAGCAAGCCCTATGCATGTCAGTGTCTAGCTTCTCATGAGCTGACTTGCTCAAGCATGTTGTTCAATGACACTCTTAGCCAGTTTTTCATTGAATTACAAAAATAATTTACAACTAGTTAATTTAGGCAGAAGGAGAGATCTCAGATAAAGTAATGAACACAATCAACGCGTTTCCCACTCCTCTTTTCCTTTTGCTAATATAAATACTTTTAAACATTCTGATATTTGTTTCGAAACAGGATCAAATGTGCTAATTAAAGCTTAAAATGTACCATTATAAAGAGGGAAATTTAAACCCTTTTGCTGAAGAAGTCCTGGTCTATCTTCTTCCCCTTGCCTTTAGGGAGCGAGTGAGTTGTATGAGTAAGAGCCAGGGGAAGTTAAAAACTAGCTTCTGCGACAGATATTGTTCTGTGCCTCCTGAGTATGTTTGCCAGATACCGAGATAAAATACTTCCATAGCATAGGTAATACTAATGGAAGAAGGGAACTTTAGAATAATTTGGAGGGTATTGCTTTTCGTATTAATGAAATTGTGGGGCTTGCTTTAAAAAAAAAAAAAAAAAATAGGGAGAAGAGATGTAGGCAACATGGTTTGAACCAGAAAGTGCAAATACTGTTTTAAGAATTCTCTACTCACTACCAATATGGAAAGTTTCTACAGGCTTCAATACAGGCACTGGTCTGCAGTAGAAAATATCAACTCGGGAACTTCCAATACATTGGTATGTAACTCTTGTTGCCTGGTTAGAAGTATTTGTCTTCTATAGATTTGCTACTCGTACTGAAGCAAAACTCCAACACTATGAAAGGATTATCAGAATTTGTTACCCTAGTGCAATGGTTTGATGTACTGGGAGGAGTTCATTGTAGAGGTGAGCTTGAAAGACTGAGATTTACATTGTTTCAGACAAACAGACTTTTCCAAGGTCCTACTGGGAAGAGCCTTGCAGTAATCTTAAACTCATTACACGTTTCTCTAGATAAGTATTGAGAAATAGATGAAAAGGAACTCAACTATACCAGTTCTCAAAATAAGTGGGCCTTTTTTGGTCATGACACTTAGGTAACAGTCTGTATGTTGACAACTTACAGCAATCATGGAGCTGTAAATTTATGTTTGTTCCTCGTGCATCTGAGATAGCTTCCGAGAGTGCTTTTTCTAGCAAATACTATTCCTTCTTACCTCAGGAGTGTTAGTACTACTTTCAAAAATGGAAATTAGATCAGTTTCCAACAGGTACAACAAATTGTAAGTATCAACAAAACTTAAATTTGTTCTTGTAGGTTGCTGTTCCAAGCGAGATCATCTTGTAGTATCTTTTAAAAAGGACTTGCATCAGTGTATCCCCTGCCGGTTTTTTGCTTTGGGGGTTGGGGAGGGAAGAAAAGAGGAGCAGTGAAACTTGCTCTCAACTTGCAGTCCAACAAGAAGAAACAGCTTTACACAAAAGGATCGTAGTTCTTTTAAGACCTTTGAATACCTTTTGGTAACTGAAGTTCCTTTTTGGCAGGTTACAGAATGGAAGAACCTTTGTGTCAAGATCAGCTTTTCCAATTCATTTAAAACTTCATTGGTATGATGTGCTTCTTGCTTACAATAGGATTTTGCATGGTAAGCCTGCTTATGAAGGTCTGGGCATACAGATGTAAGCACAGTGTCGTGATAAGGGTACAGGGGGAAAAGAAAAGACTGATAAGCATATAAGGCACATGGAGGGAAGACTTCCAGCCTAGGCAAAGAAGAATGTACTTACTCTTTCAGCACTGCCAAGTCAATGTAATGACCACTCTATGGTTGAAGGAGTGGGCAGTTAAAATGTATAAAATGCACACCATTTTGGGCCTACTTCACTGGAAATGGTTAGTTCTAGACAAGGAGGGTTATTCTGACCCCAACAGGGTTATTATGACCTGAGACTACCAAGGAGAAGAATGCTGTGAACACCTTAGTCTACAAAAGGGCCTACCTTTCTACTGCTGAAACACTACTTAAAGCACAGTATTTCACACCTGAGACCTTTCAGCTAAGAAGATCTAAAAAGAGAATAGACAGCTGCAGGAAAAAAAAAAATTATGTTTGAGAGCCTCACAGTCTTTTCTAATTCTTTTCTGTAAAGTGGCAAAATACTCAAGATTCTTTCCTTTTTCTCCCTTCTCTTGTGTGCATGTTCTTTCACCTGAAAGCTTTTGAGTTATTTAAGAGATTCCCACACTTAAAGAAACAATCAGGTTTGGGACAGATTCCAAGAGAATTCTATGTTAACTGGTCAAAATAGAACTGAAAAAACCAATTTGTGCACTGCTTCAATAATTCAGAATCTTTCTTCTATACAAGAACTTATTAGTGAATGTCAACAAATATTTCAATAGTGTATTTTGTAGCATTTACTTACTATACAGAAGTTAGTTCCAGATCAGTTGTGTTATTTAGCTCAAACACTGTATTGCCCGCTTTTAATAAAGAGCTGAAAAATTGGTTATTTGAGGACCAGCTAAGGATCAAAGACAGAACTTTAGCTTTGAACAGAAAGACAAGTATTTTGACAGGTTGTAGAAGATGCAGTATTAAATATCTTTGCCTTATTCTGATTTAGGGGTCAGAGTGGGAAGTCACATCAATACCTGTATTATCACCAATCTGTGTGAAATAGGCTCTCAGCATGAAATACTGAGCTACATGGAAGATGGCTTTCAAAAGATTAACACAAACTGGCAAAGGAGCTGTCCTGGTTTCGCCTGGGATAAAGTTAATTTATCTGGGGAGTGAGGCTGTGTAGTGCTTAGCTACCGGGGGTTAAGCCACGACAGGAAGAATCAGCCATTTTAGTTTAGGTGAGTAAAATAAAACCAATTCATTAAGTTATTTTTTAATTTATTGGAGTATAATCAGCACATAAACAATGAGTTCTTATTACTGAGGACCAAACATCTAAAAAGAAAAAATAATCCATCAACTAATCAATCAAGTCGGTCATGCACATGTCCCCATAATGCAGATTAATTCACTGCCTGTAAAAATAGACAGGAGGACAAATACAGAGAAGTCTGAATAAAACTTGATTTTTTTTTTTTTTTTACATACTGCAAAATCCCACTTCTAATTCAAACCAAAACTTGGAAATAGTGTAACAAAAAAAATACAGAAAGCATATTCAAGTAATTTTCAGTTCTTTCCAGTAGAACCAAAGCCACCTTCGCCACGTTCTGTATCATCTAGAGCCTGAAAGACATCAATTAGGATAAGTTGGTTCAGTGTCTTAACTAGCCTTCTGTTTCTATACAACAGATGTTGTCTATCATACAGAAAGGTACATTTACTTGTAACAATAGCTATAATTGAGAAAGTAAACCAAAAAATTTTAAGAGACATTTCAGAATACCTTTTGTACAAGTTTAAACAAATCCCACATTGTGTGACAACTGTTTCTAGTATAGACGGAAGTGTTTCTCAAGTACCTGTTAACTCTGAAAACTACCCCAAAACCCCCAAAATCCACGTAAATGCATGCAAAGCATCAAGATTTTTATTCAGGCAGCAATGCACTTTTAACACTGAAAGTAGTTTTAAAGCAAAGTATTTATCATAAATTTCAGCTTATATACAACTATCTTATATACAACCTTATATACACCCTTATTGTATCTTATATACAACCTGATCTAGTTAAAGCTGTCCCTGCTCACGGCAGGGGGTTGGGCTAGATGACCTCTAAAGGTCCCTTCCAACCCAAAGCATTCTATGATTCTATGATCTTAATTATCAAAAACAGCAACAATATTTTCTTTTGGCAACTTACCTGAACTTCTTCTAGCTCAGGATAGCAAATGCGTTCACAGATGAGCTGGGCAATCCTATCCCCCTTTTTAACTGCAATGAAATTAAAACATTATTAGCTCCTTCAAAAAAAGTGAACAAGCAATACGAAGTTTAGACAATCCCCTTTCAAGAGTATCAGAATGTACTAAAGTGTAAACACTCACTTGAAACTTAGTTAAGCAGATGTTAATAGTGCCAGAAAAATACAGGCTAAGATAAACTTGTGCTTAGTCCTTTTCAGGTGAAGTTTCAGCAGCAGTACCAGCTCAAGGCATCTGCCCTCATCCCTGCTGCCATACTGTGGCGTCTTAAGTGTTGTTATGCACAAATATTGCAGAGATGGAGAGACAGCTGTATGCATAAAGTGGCTCCTTTTGTGAACTAGACCCAGGAACTGATTTCTCTGGGGGGGAAAAACCCATACTGATAAAAGGGAAACAAAATTTCTGATTAGTACCCAATCTGGTTCACACAACTTCCATAAGAAGCTTGTGCTGTGAAGTTGCAGAAAAGGCTGCAAAAACCCTGGCAATACTGTAACTGGGCCCTGAGGCTTAAAACCGACTGTTTGCAGAAAGACAGCATGATTAAGGGAAAATTGTATCTTTATTCCTCCTGTTTCACAGGATCCTGGAGAAGTTTTTATCTCAAATACTGTTCAGATAGATCTTTTTTTTTGCAGAGCAAGAAACTTAATAGAAAGTTGCACTTAGTACAGCTCATGAATCTAAGCCTTAGCTAAGCAGGGGTTTTGTTTGTTTCATTGTGGTGGTGGTGGGGTGTTTTGGGTTTTTTGGGGTGGGATTTTTTCGGGGTTTGGGGGTTTTTTGCATGCTGCCTATGCTGCCTGATTTGCTAGGAGTGGAGTCTTTGCTTGTTTCCTTGAGAGGACATTGTTAAGTTTCCATGTTTTTGTTAATTTTAAGAAGAAAAATGTTGTCAGCTAATCCTAACTCTTCATGGACTTTTAAAGAAAAATTAGTTTCTCATTTCCAGTCAGATGGCTGAAAACAGGCTCTCCCAAGCTTAACATTTACCTTCAAAAGCCTCCTTGCCAAAGTTGAAGAGTACCACACCAACATTTCCCCTGTAGTCCTCATCAATGACACCAGCTGTCATAAGAAAGAATTGAGAGGGATATCCAGTTAATAAACACTGTCAGTATAAGAAGATTAGATAAGGTTTAGATTAGATGATTGCAGTATCTTATATTGACATCCTTTATATTACTCATGCACAATTAAACAATACATATGAAAATACTGAAATATCTAAAAATGCTAATCAATCTCGCAAAAAGAACTGAAAAATACCATCACATATCAAGAAGTGTTTTACCACTGTACTACTAATTTTAGTTGTAATACCCTATCTGAAATCAAGACAGCTGTACCAAATTCAGGCTCCATTTGTTCTGCTAACTTCAGCTCTTTGAGTGTCAAGCAGAAATCTGTTCTTAATTCTAACATTTGATTTGAGAGATATGGATTTGCACAGATCCAAATCCCTTATCTCAGGCAGGGTAACAGAACTAAAGCTTTAAGGAATTGATTGTCATTCAGCTACATTCAAGTGTAAATAATGTAAAACAAGCTTGCTCTTTATATAACTGTATTAACTACATAGTACAGGAGATTATCTACCAATACACATTAAAATAATCATATTCTGCCTTTTTGAGGTTTTCTCCTGGATACAAGAAGCATACTTCCAGTAGAAAAACTGAAATTTGGGCTTAGTTGTGGACCAAAGTACGTATTTGGAAGTCTACTTGCAGAAGTAACGCAAATACTAAAACTACACGTCATTCTAACACATTCCCAGACCCATACACACAAAGTACTACCTTTAGATTAAAAACACCGGAGGAAATTGTAGTATCACTATACTTTGAAGTTTTGATGTTGAACATACACACTTAAGAATAGAAAACTGAGGGTTTTTTTCTTAGTGTCTTCAGCTGTGTGAAAATATTGCAGTACGTATGGTCCATAGTTACTGTACAATCTCTGCACTAGTTCTAGTGTGAGAAAGGTAATTATACAGTTCTCTTTACCTTGTAATGTTATGGGTTAATCCAATCATGTTTCTGACTAGCTTCCTAATTAAGGTGCTAGTAACACTGGGAGTATCCCCCGAGTTCTGAAAATTCAGAAAAACATGCACTTCTCAAGTTGACTCACTGGTATTCAAACTGCATGCAGTTGCTTAAAGGGACCCTCATTACAGAGCACTGTCAAAAGTAACAGTGAACAAAACATAGGGGTTGCTGTGCATGGATGTTTTCCAGAATCAAAAAAAATTATTAAAAAAAGTCTTGAATGTAGCATTCAGTTCAGTTGATTCAGAGAGCTTGATGTACTGAAGCTACATGCGCAGGTCCTGTACTACATTCACAGGTCTTGTACTGTTTACTTGGCTTAGGTTAGACCAGCTTTCAGAAAGTCAGCTACGAGAGAATCATGGTACATCACTTACATTGGTTATCACAGAGCCTTCTTGCACAATTTCAACCACAGTTCAATGCTGCAATTCAATCCTTAAAATATTAAAAATCAAACCCTATGCACATGTGTGCCACGTGAATAAGCAAAAAAAGGCTGAACTATAAAACAGTAACATTAAAATTTTGCCTTCTTAGTTCTAGCACAGTACTATTTCTTCCTCCTTTTTGAAATATCAGATAATCTAGAGCCCTTACATAATTGCTAAACCAGGGGTAACACAAAGCGTTAGCTAAAGAGTGCTACGCAAATAATTTGTTTTATACAATAGTGGACACTGAGTCCATGCTACATAGATACATTACAAAGAAAGATTCAACAAACTTGTAATTGCAGCACAAATAATTTTAAGCATCACTCAAGTTCTGCAATCAGTTGCCCATTAATTTGGTGTATTTGTTCACACAAGTCAATCACCTGGAGAGCTGAAAGCCAGAATTCACATTTGGCACATAAAACTATGTACATATGCACATAAATGCATATAAAAAGGTTATTAGCTCTTTGGACAAATTCTTAATTTGACAAAGCATTCTCAAGTGTTTCTGTACAGCTAAGACAACATTTTTCTAGACCATATGCTGGGATAGATATTGCTATGCATTAGAGATTGATAATGGAATTTGCTAATTTAACGTAATGAGGGCTAGTTTTGTTATAATACAGTATTCTGCTCTGATATAACGCAATACTCAAAACTGATTACCACAGATTACTAATTCTATTTAAATGGAGATTATGCTTTTATATGTATAAAATATACCAATTAAAGTAGTATGGTTAGATTTATACATGCAAGAAACTCTTGCATGTCACATTTCTGCTGGAATTATCTGAAGAAAATTTATAGAGCAGAACAACTGGGGCTAGTTAAAGTCATTCTAAATTAACTTTTTGGCCTTCATATCTCTGACAGAAAGCAAGTTTATTTCTACATAATGACAAAAATTGTACTTGATGTATTAGTTAGTGCTTAACTGCTAATGAAGCTTTTTGATCTACCAGATGTTGCTGCTATTTTCTGGGGAAAAAAAAGAGTATCTAAAACTTAGCTTGTATTGGAGTAACTGGAGCTTAATGGCACGTTGGTACTTCTACCCCTTTGTAAACCCCAAACCTTTTTTATTTTTGCTGAAAAGGAGTGTTATAATGGTTCTATACTGATTTACAATGAATCTAGTCAGATGGCTTCCCTGACCTTTAAACAATGGCATTAGCGCAATCTCAGTTTATGTATAAACACTAAAATTTATTTTACAAGTATTTGTTGAAAAGGCTGTCATCTAAACAGATAATTCTATGAACAGATACCAAATTCTTTTGACCACCTATTTGACTACTGCTAGAGAGTGGCTCTCTAGGATTTGAAAACTGATAACTAAAGATGGAAGACTGATGAATACTTCTGTGGCTGAACTGAAGTCAGCAACACTGAAAACTTTGATCACTCGTATTATTCACTAGAGGGGAAAAAAACCCTCACTAAAACACTAATTTTCTAAGCTTAGCTATAAAATAAACACCTTGTAATGGTTCTACAGATTGTAGTGGATGTAGTTTCTAGCAGGAGAGAATTGCACTTCCTCCACACTTCTGAGGATGAAAACTTTCCAGAAGATGCAGAGGCAAGAGCAGGCTTCTTCCTTAAAAGCATGCCCGATACAAACAGAACTTGTAATTAGAGTTGAAGTTGTATATTAAGAAAATAACATTTAAAAATATGTTTTGTGGCCAAAACAATTAGTCTAATGCTGTGCTGAGTGACTGAAACACTGCCAAAGCCATGATAATTTCAAATTCCATTAAAGGCACAGCTGGGTAAAGATTTTGTGAAATGAATTCCCTACCAATCATTTTCTCTTTAAATGTATTATACGTCCACCGACATAGTCTTACTGAGTTTAACCACTGTGTGGGTTTTGAGTTCAAACTACACTATTTGTATCAACAAACATATGATCCTTGGAAGATACAAGAAAATATGATCCAGGAAGATCTGATCGGTTTTCCTTCTGTATAGGGTCACAAACTCACTCCACGTAACTGTGCGTACTGGCAAAACACGTTAACATCCTTGGCATTCTGTTATTCTGGAACAGCAAGTTGCAATAATTATATACATTGCTGAGGACTAAGGCACTTTTCTAAAATATGTGTATTGGGTGGAAATCATGCAAGTAATTTTTGGAAAAATCATGCATTGGAATTGGCAGTCTGACATTCTGTCTTACTCTGTCAGAAGTTTGGCATGTCGCTCGTTGGGAAATCATCCACACATAGCAGATGTGAATTCTGAACATATTCATGCATGATCCCAATTTTTCTACCTGACCCTTAGGACTTCTGGCAAAGTATTTTTACTTAAATGGATCATGCCCTCATTGTGACAGAAGTACTCCTGCAGGACAAGTTAAAATTATGTAACAATTGGTTTGGGTTTTTTTTTTTTTTTTAAATAAGTCATCCTCTACTAACTGTCACTAATAGTTTTTACTCATGGTTTGTCAGCTGTCAGCTTTTTAAAACCTGAACATAGGTCATCCTGCTAAGCACTTCTGGTTGCCTTCTGGTATCTCCTAGTTTAACTTTAAGATTGAAAAGACTGTTACAGAGCGCATGTATTTTTTCATATAAACAAACAAAAAAAGTTTTAGAAGTGCCGCTTCAAAGAACTACACAACAGTAGACCACATATACTACAGTCACAGGGGTGTAGGAATTTTTGATTCCCATCTTAGTGCTCTTTGTATGTTACCCAGCAACACTTAAAAACCTTAGTGTAAGACATCCAAGAATCAACTCTTACTTAAGACAAAGCCTGAATGATACAAAGCTGGCACAGATGCTCCCCTTTAACCTCTGATTCAGAACTGTATCACAGGCACAGCCAGACTTCGGTATGCCATAAAGCAGACAGAATAAAGTAGTTCTGCTGCAGCTCTAAACTATATTGGGAATTGCTTTGCTTTTTGGCTGGCTCGGCATCAGAAAGAGAAGGATGCCTAGAGCAACCCTTTCTCACCTCTAGAGCCAAGCCTATAGCAAGTAAAGGCTGAGTACCACTGTTCTAAGTAGTCTCTCTTGTTTAACACTGGGGAGGGGAAACCCCAGATGACAAATCAAAAAAAAATCCCCCCCCCAAAACCTAGCAAAGAGGAAAAGGCCTCAGTTTTCAGCACACTTTTTTGGTCAACGTCCATTATGATTCAAATGACAATGTGCTTGCAAAAAATGTGCTCTCTTGGCCATCCAGCATTTTCAAAGATACCCATTAGATGCATCTTCTTTATGTTGTTACATCAGAAATGTAGTTTTTGGTTCTTTTACTACAATCTATTGCCAGAAAAAAACAATTGCTTAGGGTTTTAGGAGGCAGAAAACATTTTATTTAGGTTAGAACTGTTTTCTTGTACAATGAGAATAACATAATACACATTTAGTGCTAGTTAAATTGCTGTGGTTACAGCTGTGCTCAGAATAACTCCACAATAACCTTAGCGGTGAGAACTTCTGTGCAATGTAGATGCCACTTTATAATGCAATACTTAGAAAATCCGCCTGTGCTCTGATCAGCCCCTCTGCAAAATTGGAATTGATCTTTCAACATCATTTACTTCATGTTGCAGTTACAGGGATATGGCAAACGGACAGTGAGGCTTTCATGAAGGCTTCCGATTATAGATATGCCTATAATATTTTTGAAGAGGTATCTGTGAATTTTTAATCAAGATTAAAGAAAAGCTCAAAATATTTTAAAAAACCACCCTGTTGCTCAAAACAAATCTGTTGCTAGTACTGAACAAAAAAAAAAACCAGTAAAGACTTGTAGAAAGTGGGATTTTAGTTTTATTTGTTTCAAAAGACTTTCAATTTTTAAGTCAATTAATGTACAAAGTTACGACTTTAAATTTCATTTGCTTTACATAATTTGTTACATTTTCGTCAGTAATGGTAAACTAAAGCTCTTTTCATCCTAATAATCAATTCTACCCACAGTAATGGTGTATTCCAGTGCTTTCTATCATTCCTTTTGAATATCACTACTATATATTCTCTGTGTAAAAGAATATCTGTATGTTAATGATTTAATTCATTCAGATCTTACACTAGGCTAAAAAGAATCACACATAGATGTTTAGTCAAAGTGGAGAAAGCAGAATGTAAAAAGTCATCTTTAAAGCCTAAACCAAAAAAAGGTATTGCTTACAAAAGTACAATACAGTTATTATTCTAAAAAAATCAGTAATACTTTTATAATTCCGCAGGCCTTAAAATAATGACGCACTGTCTCTTTGAGGTATTACCCAGTTACCTTCTTTTGTCAGACTACCAGTGAAGCTAGCATTATTTATTTACACATATTATGTGAAATTAAGACATTTCTGCAATCAAAATTTACAAAGTCTTAGTAAAAAGAACAAAAATCTCACCACCAACATCTATGAAGTGCTTTGCAGCTAAACCAGAACGCGGTGCTAGAAAACAAGAAATTTTTTGTAAGTATAATTTATTTCTTTTAAAACTCTTACACAATATTTATAGGTTAGATAGTGTGTTTGCACAGTCGTGGCAGCAAGAACTGTTTCCACAGTCTAAAATAAACATGATTCTACAGGAACTACTGTAAGTGTTAATGTGTATATTAAACAAAATAACATCTGCTACAGGCTACAATAGAATTGCAATCTTTAACTGATATAAGCATATCTTTGTTTAGACCACCAATTGCAGAGTAGATTTATCCAAGGAAGGAGGCAGGAGCAGACAGCTGTCTAATCTTGTCTTATTTTTGGCGGCTACCACTGGTTGGAATAATCTCAAAAGACTATTAGGTCAATCCATTCAAGTCATGATCGAAAACAGTATTTGGCAATTTACTAAGAAATATTATACACAGATAAATAATGTGCAGAGTGGTTTGTTTTTTGTTTTTTTTTTACTTACCTTAGCCTACTGTGCTGAAAATGTTACTCTCTTCCAAATTTTGTCTGGGATAACAGAAATGCACACGCACTCTCCTTTTAGATGAAAGGACGTGGCAAACTCTGATCACGCTTTTCCACTGGAGTGGCCATTGCTTTTTTTCACTTTAAGAATTTATACATAATTCAGAAAAAGAACGCACAAAACATAACAATGTATCTTGTACAGGTTCTCTCAAGTATTCTGGGACAAAATAGTCAAATTCTACTACACTAGTACTCTTACTTCAGGGTTCATGTTTAAACATCCAGGGCTAGATTTTCTGTATGTCCATATGGTCCTTGTGATTCGAATTCTGAAACTGCAGAGAAATAATGAACTATTGCATAGCCTACAAAGTTGTATGTAGATTACGAAAATTTCTCCTAATCATCTTTTTGTCATTTGACATACACCAAACCTCAAACGTATTTGACAAGAAACATCTATTACAAGGCTTAATAAATCACACAGCCATGTGACACCTCTTTTTTGTGTAGACTAATTCTGAAAGCTTTAGGCAGAATCTAAACGTGAAGATGATGTCAAACCTGCTCTGTGTCAAACCTGCTCTGTAACGACCCTGCAGCCTTTTCATAGCCTGTTTACTTACCTACTCGACCATAGCACCCAGAAGGAAGGGCAATTTGAATGTCTGTTTTCACTACAGCCTTTTCCATGGGTGGTATCACACAGTCATAAGCACTACATTAAAGAAAGAAACATCAGTTTATATAGAATATTTTGAAAGTTTTCTTCTCTGTAACTTAAGGTACAAACTTACCCAGAATTATTCTTGCTGAGAATTTATACCATGGAATTTGTACAAGAGATATTTAGATTGCAAAATCTAATGCAGATCCTAAACCACATTTTGATGGTGCTAGCTCAAGATTTCAGCAGCGTCATTTGAACAGCATAGTCTTAAGATTGCTCATTTTAAATGTTTTTTAACTGGTGAGATAGACAAAAAATACAAGTTTTAACTTTAAATTAACTATTAGGTGAATTTTTGTGCAAAAGCAGAAACTTTAAGGATAATACACCTTTCTGATTAAGCTTTCTACAGCAGATGAACTAGTTATAATCAAAAATAATAATCTGTTGAGTTAAATTTTAGGCAACAATGCAATGTTTTTTTCCTGAGCAGGTCAGAAGTTCACGATTCACATGATTCTGTTGGGAACTGCAAACTAGAGCGATTTTAAGAACTTTCTGAAGTTACCCAACCGGACACTTAATGAAAAGCAGTGGTGACAATACCACAGTGAGACTGTTCTACTTGTTTAAGGCAAGCATATCTTGGCCTTGACGAAGAACTGATTTTTAAACACTGGGAAGCACTGAAAGGTTTTTTTATGAAATGAACTTTTTCCAGGTGTACAGTGCAGCACTGGAACAAGAACAAAACCAAACCTGGTAAGACAAAAGGCATATAAAGGGAAAGTGTGAAGTGTGGTGAAGCAAAGCTTCAGGAAGGAAGTCAGATAGGCAAAGGAAGAAAAAGACAGGCTGATCATTCTAAGTAATACTAAAAGAGGGAAGCTAGAGGAGGTCAGAATCAAGCTCAGATAGACCTAGTGATGGTGTTTGATCACAGAAGCACTATGCAAACAACCACCAGCCCAGCTGCAGATATTCCTGAACACAGTGAAACTCTTTGAACAACGGTTATTATCAGTTCAACCAAACCCAAACCTAAGCCTGTACTGCACGCCACGTGGTTTCTGGCTAGGAGCACCACATGGTTTCTGGCTAGGAGCACCATCAGACTGCCACAGCCTCCTTCGGCCCGCAGCACCCAGCGGCCAAGGGGAAAGCAGAAAAGCATAAGCACGCTAGCAAGGAGGGCCCATATGCGCCACCTTTTTTTTTTTTTTTTTTCCCCAAAAGAAAGGCCCCTAGCCAATGCTGATGCCAACAGCAACTCAGGCTCCTGTGTCAAGCCTGACTTTTGGCCAAGGTTTGCATCGCTACCTGATGAAATGGGTGCTGCGGCAGGAATGGACGCTGGAAATGGAGCGGGATGGAGGAGCCAGGGAGCTACGAACAGGCCACCTCCGGCCTCCTCTTCTGCAGGGCGGCAGAGCCTCTCCGGGGGGCTCTGCTCAGCAAGGGGCCCTGCCTGACGAG